TGTTTCTTTTAGCTTCATGAACTTGTCTGCTTATTTCTATCTTCAAGTTTGAAAAGTTTTCCTCTATTATTTCTTTAAACAAATTATTCAGTCACTTCTTTCTCTCTTCCCTTTTGGGAGAATCAATATCCTTATGTTACTTTGCCTGCAGAATCAGTATTTCTTCATCATTTTTCTCTTTGTATTTCTCTTTCTCCTTCCAACTTGGTCCTTTGTGTATTATATTTTCAAGGACATTTATTTAATCTTCCAGTTGGTTTTGTCTGCTTTCTTAGCTTTTCATATATTTTTAGCATCTTTTACATCTGACAACTACTTATTTTATTGTTTAAATCTTTAATACATGTTTTCTTCTCACTACTCATATTTATCATTATTAATTTTTCTGAATTTTATTACATTTTCAATTTATCATGACAATTTTTAACTCTTTGATACAAAGATCATATATTTATGTGTAGGTACTGGAGAGCTGTTTTCTTCTTGTGGTGATATATTCACTAGAGGTCTCAGTTTTCTGTGTTGTATTACTTTGGAGGCTCATTTTGCTGAATTATTCCTTCCCCTTTAATTATCTATTCTCCAGCAGTAGCAGTTTGGTAGCTTCAGGAGAAGTTGAAAAGAGCTGATACCCCATCCTAGCTACCAGTAACCTGGAAGACCTCTGTTCACAGGTTCTGTTTCATGCAGTTAACTGTAGGTTATGCCTACACATTATGGACACAGGCACAGAGTTCTTGAGGGGGTAGGGGTAAGCATGTCCTCAGTCTTTCTGTAGTATAATGTAGAGAAAACTCCTGTAAGTAGTTGTATATGAGAGTAATATGACTACTTACTTCTGTACTATGGCAGGAAGTGCTCCCCTACGTGAAGGATCTTTGTGTGCATAGTCCATAGGATGTGTGTGAGTGGGGTGGGAGTTGTGGTATACCCATGGTCTATGGGAAGTTCCATGGTCTGGAAGCTCCATTGTTCCTTACAATAAACCTAGCAGTACTGAACTTTTGCAAATATTACCAACAATGAAGGTAGAAAGAAGTTCATACTCTTAATTTCTTTATGATCACATGCAGAGGTCACGAGTGGATGGGAGTAACAGTGAAAGTCATGCTCCCAGTCTCTAGAAAACATGTTATCTAGAATCCCACTGAATAAAGGGCTATGCTCATACTATGCTTCATGACAGCCTTTGACATGCTAAAAATCAGTACAAGTTTACTGTTGGCCTCAAATAGTCTCCTAGTAAGTAGAGATTCAAAATTATGCAGTCCAAAGGAATGGGTAATGGTCCTCCTGGATTCACTCTCCAGGGTAGTCACAGAAACTTTGGGATCCCAGAGACCACTTCAAGTGATAATTATGTGCTCCACTACTAAACCTGGTGTCAGGTCACCTGGATATCCTCTTTTGAATTGTGGATCAGGCTATCTTCTTACAATGAATAATGCTTTCTCCTCAGGCTTGTGGGAAAGGTTGATGGACTGTAGGGGGAAGGACCAGTCCGCCCTCCATGGAATTCAACCAATCATCCAAATTCATTCTATCCTATAGCCAGTCTCAACCTATTCTATCCACACAATCTATTTTCAAAATATAGACTTCCACATTCTCTAATAAATGTGTCTGTTTCTACATTCATGTATATTACTAATAATATTTGCTTAACTATGGATATTTGATCATTTTATCAAGTTTCTATATATCTGCAAGTATTAGTTTGACTCCAATATTAATAATACTAATAGTATCTTTGAGTCCAGGAAGGAAATTGCCTTAGAGAAGTAAATTAGCTTATAAATTGAGATTTACTGGAGACAATCAAGGTGAAAATATGGAATTGTGGGTTGAAAAAGATTACAAACCTGAGACCATTGACTATAGCATTTCAAGTTATAGTTTTATCAATATGTGTTGTTCAAATATATCCTCCTATAAAAAAGTAAAAATGTAAAAAAAAATATTGTTACATTTTAATTAGCTGCCTTATTTGAAAACCAATTCAAAAGTAGTTTCAACAATTCTTTAATCCAGTTTCCAGCACTTTCTTTTAGATAGAATGAATCAAAGTAATGGAAGTTTCTGGGGGCATGTCAAATGTCTTTATCACAATAGTGTTTACAAATAGTCCCTTGTATTTTAGTTGCTCTTTTCAGACCTCTCAAAAAAACCTTAACTTTTATCAATAACAATAAAAATCATCTGTTATATATCTGCAACATTGTAATTGATAATGGGCTATACATTTGCATAGATGTTAACTTTGTGAACCTTATGTTTGTCTAGATTCATGAACACCAAAACCAGTAATATTTTCTCACATTTACATTGCCACATAATACTTGTTTGTCTTTTCATATGCTAAGTCTATCTATACTATGTCAAAACAAATTATAGAAAATGTGTATATAGGCTCTCCCTGTTAGGACACAGCACTGCAAGCTAGCAGCAGCTACTTCAGTGCAAGTTAGATCTCTGGCCACAGAGGTGATCCACATGGCGTGGCAGACCTCTCCTGCCCAGCCCGCTGCTCCCCTCAGCAGTGTACTTCATCAATAGGCCTGTTCTGCTCTCCACTCTGTCTCTGATGAATCCTCTCACTGCCCCTACACCCCAGTTCTGTATGCATAAATAAATTGTTTAAAAAAATGTGTAGATATAGTTAGGGTATTATATTCAAATGTAAAGCGATGTTAAAATATAATTTAGGTGTTTTACATACTATAAGTTTTTCACTTTGAAGAACTAATATAAAACAAAAAAAATACAATTTTAATATTTTCATCACAACCATATTTCCTTCTGACATTAGGCGTATCATTAAAAATTTAAACTTTGGCCCTCCCTGGTGGCGCAGTGGGTTAAAGCACTGCTCTAAGAAGCTGAAACCACTTTCACATGAGTTTGATTCCCGCCTGCCCCGGAGGAGACCACATGGTGTGGCAGACCTCTCCTGACCCGCCCGCTGCTCCCCTCAGCAGTGTACTTCGACAGTCTGCCTGTTCTGCTTTCCACTCTGTCTCTGGTGAAATCTTTCGCCACCTCTGAGTCTCTGGCCTGTACCTCAGTTCTGTATGCACAAGTAAATCTTTAAAAAAAAAATTAAACTTTGAATTTTCCCTTTTTTAGCATGCCAGTTAGCAATAAATTGACGATAAATAACACAATATTATTCCATAGTACTACTATATATGATGCACCAAAGTGCTATTGTTTTTATTATGTATTAGAAGCAGAGCGTCTGCAATATATTCCCAATAACTTCAAGCATTTTAAAAGGCAAATCATTATGTGAACACGACTCCGTCCATATAAAATGAAAAACAGCATCCATTAGTCAGCCTATGCAGATAAGGATAATTATCTGCATATGATGAGCTTTGTAAAAAATGCTCTAAGACAATACAAAATAGTATTTTGGAAGAAAACATTATATTAACAGTACTCACAAAAATAAAGTTTGTAATAAAAAAATTGGAACAAAGTAACAGATTTGCAATTTTTTTAATCTGATAAATCAAAGAGCACTATAGTAATAAAGTTCTCCTAGCTGAGGTGAAACACAGAAAGAGGCTCACTGCAGGCTATGTAAGTGTAATACCTATGTACATTACCTTTGGGTTTTACAGTTAGCTGGACAGACAATTTTTTCACTCCCAATGGACTAACTGCTTGACATTCAAATTGTCCTTGGTCATGATGGGCTACATGGTCAATTCTCAAGGCACCAGAGGAGAGAACTGAATACCGACCCTCCTGAGGGAGTGGTCCTCCTGCAAAGATGGAAAGAACATACTCTGTTTTGTATTGGTATGGCTTAATAGACTGAAAGTTAAGACTGTATGATTTTCCTCCATAAAGGTTGTGATCTCTCTTGCAGATAATTATGTAGTGGTCAACTGTAATATTGGATCCAGAACATTTGGACACTCATGATTAACTACCCTACACTCAACAGAATTCCCAACCTTAATGTTCTCCTGTTGGCTTCACTCAATGCAATGACAATGTAAATTTCAAAATCAATTTGACTTAACACATCAATCTTGCCTTTGTTGACTTCAAATTACCCTTAGAGTAAAAACTAAGATTTTTAGCAGAATATATGAGGTATAACATAGTACATTTAGTGTCTTCTACAGTCTGATACTCCAACCTACTTGTACAAAAAACAAAACATCTAGGAGAGAAATTATGCTTGCATATATTTATATTTATGTATTTATTCCTAGGTTATCTACCAAATATGTATTAAATATAATTTTCAAATAATTCTATAGCATTTGTTTATCACATGTATGTGATATCCCATATAACCACTGTATTTCTTACTCAAAGATTAGATATTGAGTTTTTACTCCTTGTGTTCAATAAGAACTAAATTGTCTGTTATTCTCAACTATTTCAGTGAATACATATTTTATAAAATGTCTTGTCATTGCAGTAAAAAATAATAGCTACCCTTTAATATAAACAAATACCAACTATTATTATAAATGTTTGAGTATAGATACCATCAAATTAATCACCACTCTATGTTGTAAGAAATATTGTCTACCACAGTGTATAGATGTGGGGACTGTACAAAACAGCAGTCAATGAACTTACCCAAAGTTATATGACTCATAAACAAAGGAGTGGATAAATGAATGTTGGCTTTCTGGTTCCAAAGTCTACCTGCCAATCCCCCCTTAATAGTATAGAGACTGGAGCAAAAGTTTTAGTTAAAAGAAATTCACAAATGTTTATGAATTTATACTTTAATCTAGTTCCTGAACTAATGTAAATGTTAGGGACTACAAATACAGAGAAATCTTAAACAAACTCTCATCTTGAGATTATCAAGCTTATTCTGAAGTGTTCTATGGTTGGTTCTCTTGAAGGGCCTGGATACCTCTGCTGGGGAGGAACAATCTTTTCTGCCAATCCCACCTCTATCTACACTGGAATGTCAGCAACTCTCCTTTATCCATTTAATATGTTAGACTTCACTTACATCATCTCATTTACAAGTTTACTTTGTACTTCACTTACATCATCTCATTTACAAGTACTTTGTACTTTGTACTAATGGAGGATACTGCCACATTTAAAAAACGTTGATACATGAAATATAATAGCTTATGGCATTTAAGTCAAAGTTTACTTTCTCTGTGTTTTCATGTACAAACATACCTATGATGATCATTCATATTTTTTGTACTCTCATTAAAAATAAGGCATTTCTGTTTTACCACACTTAGTTGATGTGGCAATACCTGCTTTTGTCCAGGCAATGACTGGAGCTGGATTGCCCTCAGCTTTACAAAGAAATTCCACAGTGTGTCCTTCTAGCACCACTTGATCCTTGGGACTTACTGTAAACTGTGGAGGAGCTAAAAAGAATGAAAATAATACATCAAAATTGAAAGTCATTTTACAAACTTGTAATACCAGAGCTAAAAAGTGAAATATCTTAAAATAGATGTTAGAATTTGTTTTCATGGTAATTAAAACACTCCCCAAAAACAAAAGCCCAGAATCAAATGGCTTCATAACTGAGTTCTACCAAATATTCAAAGATAAACTAATGCCTTTCCTACAAAAATTCTTTCAAAAAACTGAGAAAGAAGGAATACTACCAATATATTTTTACAAAGTCAACATTATACTAATATCAAGACCAAAGACAATATAACAAAGAAAACTACTTTCAAGTCCCCCTAATGAACTCAAATGCAAAAATAATCAACAACATACATATGAAGTGTGAACTGGAGGATGGGGATTGGAAAGGCAGGCATAGCATAAACCTGTGAATGTGTGTCCCCAAATTTCCTACAATATTGTAAATCATTGTTATCAATAATAATACAATACAGGGCTCTCCCTGGTGGCACAGTGGGTTAAAGCACAGCATTAAGAAGCTAAGGTCACTTCAGCATGAGTTCGATCCCCGCTTGCCCCAGAGGTGATCCAATGGCGGCAGACTTCTCCTGACCGGCCCGCTGCTCCCCTCAGCAGTGTGCTTTGTCAGTAGGCCTGTTCTGCTTCCTACTCTGTCTCTGATGAATCCTCTCACCGCCCCTGAACCTCTGGCTGGCCTGTACCCCAGTTCTGTATGCATAAAAATATAAATCTTTAAAAAAAATACAATACAAAGATGTATCTGATAAATTAAAAAAAAAAACAGATCTCCATTTGATCTAATAAGTTGTTCATTTCAGTGGTTAGAACAAATGTAAAATGGTCATTTACTTACATTTTTGACAGGATGTATAGGATGTAGAATATTGGGAAATTACATTTCCCATGAAAACACAAGAAATATAGCAATACTTTTCAGCTTTTAGCTGATTGTGTGTTTTAGTTTATTTTAGTTTTAGTTCAAACAAGTGTGAATTATCACTTGTCTCTAGCATCTACTTTTATTATATATTTCTTACCCTGTATTGTGAATCCATTTTTAACATTGAAATATTTTGCTCATTCAAGTAACCCCAGTAATTTTAAGTATCAAGTCTTATATAAGAGACTAATTTAATCAACATCCTCCAGCCTGAATTTCTTCTGTGTAATCACCACCCTCTTCTGTGGAGTCTGGAACTGCTGATATGTGGGTTGTTTCTCAGTTTTACTTTCCTAGAATTCTATTATTCTAAGTATTTTCCAGGCATTCCCTAAGGGTTTTCATGAATTTGTGTGACCTTATAGTTTATCAATGCTATAAATGCTATAGTTATTTAGTCTTGCTTACCTTACTTTGAACTGAGGTTTTATAAAATCTTTATTATCTGAACAAATATGAAACTTGAAACAAATACACTCCATCAAATATTATTTATAATCATCATTTCATATATATACATGTAATGAGTGGAAGAAATGATAGCAGAAATTATACAAAAAATAAGAATAAGAAGTGATTTGTCAGGTCATCTCAGAAATTTTATTTACAAAGTAATAATTCAGGTATTATTGAACTTTTATTTTCTAATATTTATTTATTTATTTTTTGTTTGTTTGTTTGTTTATACATAGAAGAACTGGGGCATAGACCAGAGGTGCAGGCAGTGAGACGATTCACCAAAGACAGTGGGGAGTAGAACAGAGAGATCTACTGAAATACACATCTGAGGGGAGCATTGGGTGAGACAGGCAGGTTTGTAGAACTATATTTGGGTTAGCACAGGGATCAAATTCAGGCCTCAGGCCTAGTGGGGTTAGCATGATAGCGCTGAAACTTAACCCCTACTCTGCCAGGGAGGTCCTATTATTGAATTTAATTCTTAATTTTTTTTTTGAAGATGCATTTATTTTTTTCGTACAGAACTGGGGTACAGGCCAGAGATGCGGAAGGTGAGAGGATTCACCAGAGACAGAGTGGGTACAGAACAGGCAGGTCGACGAAGTACACTGCTGAGGGGAGCAGCGGGCAGGTCAGGAGAGGTCTGCCTCGCCATGTGGATCTCCTCCGGTGCAGGCAGGGAATCGAACTCATGCGGAAGTAGCTTAAGCTTCTTTGTGCTGTGCTTTAGCCCCGCTGCGCCACCAGGGAAGGCCCATGAATTTAATTACTTAATGTTTTAAATGTCACACTGATTTAGTTTTCATATTACAAAGTCATAATTATATCCATAACTATGTCCTATACTCATGTTATTAATAATTCACTATTTAAATGAAATTCTATTGTAAAAGATCTGAAAATTGGAAATTATTTGATTTTGATATAAATGTAACTTTTTTTAAAGGTAGCATCCAAGGCATCCCTGATGGCATAGGTTTTAAAGATTACAGTACTATCAAGCTATGGCCAGCCACTGACGCACTAACTCATCCCTGCCAGGCCAGGGAGCTGATCCACATGGCAGATCAGAACTCTCCTGTACTTCCCACTGCTGCCCTTAGCAGTGTATTTCAGTAGATTTACCTGTTCTGTTCCCCACTCTGTCTCTGGTGAATCCTCTCATTTTCGTTGCACCTCCAGCCTCTCACCTACAAGCACTTCTGGACTACACCCCAGGTCTTGTATCCATAAATTAATAAATATATATTTAAAAAAAAAACAAAGATAGCATAGCAAATGTTATAAAAGCAATAATCTTAAGGAACATATCTATTTATTAAAATTTACAAGTAACTTATTTCAAAATTTACTCTATGGAAATTATTTTGTTAATGATGCTCTGTGTTATGATGCTTTTGTCTGGTTCTTCTAACAAGATAATATTAGCCTCACAATGTGTTTGGAAATAGTTCTTTATTCTCAATTATGGGGGAGATTTTGAGAAATATAGGTATTACTTCATCTTTGATAGGACTATCTTGTTCTTGACTTTGCATTTTTTTTGGTAGACTTCTGATTACTATTTCAGTGACCTCATATGTAATTAATCTGTTGAAATTGTCTATTCATTTGTGATTTAGTTTTGGAGTGTGGTGTATTTCTAAAAAATTTCCAATAACTTCTAGGCTTTTCAACATACTACCATACAAATATTTATGGTAATTCCTTTTGATCCTCTGAATTTTTTTAAGATTTATTTATTTATACATACAGAACTAGGGTACAGGCCAGAGGTGCAGGAGCAGTGAGAGGATTCACCAGAGACCAAGTGGGGAGCAGAACAGGCCAACTGATGAAGTACACTGCTGAGGGAAGCAGCAGGTGGGTCAGGAGAGGTCTGCCTCACCTTGTGGATCACCTCTGGAACAGGCGGGTATGGAACTCATGCGCAAGTGGCTTTAGCTTCTTAGTGCTGTGCTTTAACCCATTGTGACACCAGGGAAGGCCCTCAGAATTTCTAAGATAACTTACCTTCATTTATAACTCTATTATATATTTTGCCTTTTTTTCTTTTTAAATCTAGTTTAGTTTT